AGAGAGTGAGGTTGACGCTGCGCAACTCTTCCTCACTTTAAACAAAAGTCACCCGCGCAAGTCATCAGTCACCAGACGACTCGATGGTCATCGTCGATCCTCGACGGACGAACAACATCCATAACATGCAAGACAGGCCTACTATACAATTATACAGTTATGAATTTGATCCTTGATCTGGAGCAGGGTTCACCAAACTTTTTCCACGGCGAGCCGAATAACGGACAAAATGACGAGCGCGGGTGGCATAACCATTCTGTACAAAACTTGCAGGCCAGAACGAAAGCTGTGGGACAAAAGACGAAAAACTAAGTTTAGTATTCCATGTTAATCATGGGTGAGTGGCGTGCAATGTACAAAAAAAAAAAAAACTAACAAAGACAACCAACATATTAATTTAAAATTATTTACTAAAAAGGTTATCAAAGAAGACGACGTTAGCAACAAGATAATTACATCAGAACTAATAATGCGTACAAATTCGAATCTCTTAATCTAAGCAGAAAAAAAAAAAAAAAAGGTTAGCGAGATTTGTGAAAGTGACGCTTTTCTTTCAATACTTCCTCAATGATTGGTTTGACATTGCTGCATGCAATCAAGAGAATTGGTTTTAAATTTTCATCAGTCAATCTCGTTCGATATGTTGACTTCAAATGCTTCATTTTTGAAAATGTTTGCTAACACTGATGCCATACTAGCAGCAAATTTCTTCAGTTTCGGAAACTCAACATCGGGTTAGCAGCGATAAAATTCAACACGTTTTCCTTCTCTATGCTTCTCTTTCAACAAATAATTTCCTTGCAAATCAATGAGCTCCAACTGTTGTTCAACTGGCACATCATCAAATACAATCAAACGGATTCTGAATAGATAAATGCCACGCTCAAGTCTGTCAAGATCTGGAAATCTCGCCAACAAATGATTAGCAAGTGAATAATATTTTTTTTCGTAAAATTGAGGTTGATTTCCTCGTCGATTGTTGCGCTTAACTCTTTGAAACAGTGAAAATGAGAAAAGTCTTCTCCTTCCAGTTGTGCTTTAAACAAAGACAGCTTTCTCCAAAACCCTTTGGTGATTCTGCAGCGCTCACAGATGAGTTTATCCTTTCCCTGAGGTTTCAAGTTCAGTTCATGTGGAATGTGATGTCGACCAAAAATGACAACTTTTGCAGCCAGGTACGATCTGACAGCCATGGAGGATCTGACAGCAGTGATTATTTCAGAAACTTTCCCCCGGGGGAGCACTTCAGATATAGCTGAAAGAAACCCTGTCTGACAGCCATGTAGGATCTGAAAGCTGTAGATCAGTGAGAAAAACATCTTATTTGTTTCGCAGCTTGTAAAAACGAAACAGGACTTTCTCCTAGCTGATCCACCTCACTGACGTATGATAAGGCAAGTCACAGAGTTCAGAATAAATTTGTTCAAGAAAAGACTGGAACTGACGATGATTGAGTCCATGTCCGCTAATGAAGTTCACAGCAGAAATGACAGGTTTCAGTACACAATAAATATCTAATTCTTTCCCACAGATTGCTTGCTAATGTATGATGTCTTTTTTTTTAAAGAGCGCCCGGAATTTGCAACTCTTCCAACTGAGTCCTGATCTCCCCACCAGACCTTTCCTCACTCCAGTCATGTTTTCCCTCAATCAACAGTAACACCTCGAAGCTGATTCCAATGAAGGTTAATTTGTGCAAAAGTTTTTGCACTTCCATGAAGATGTCTTTGCCATTTGTTGTTCCATGCATGCTGCAAACGGATGCCAACTCTTCCGTTATCTGAAAGTCCAATTGACGCCTCACATAAACGCGAGAAGTTGTGACGTACTTGAGAGATCTTTAGACTAATCCAGCGCCAGAGAAATTTATGCCGATCTGACTTTAAGTTTGAACCACGTTAAATTTCATCAGTAACTTTATTTTTAATAGGGATAGACTGTGATCATGTGATCTATACCTCCACTCAATATAAATTAATATCTATAGCAAATACACGTCTGCAAAAACAAAAGTGACCACAGATTGTAATGTAAACGTCGGTCATCTACTTTCAGAAGTTAACTTTTTTGACGCCATGTTAACTCGATCCCACTAGGCACTGCTATGCGCGTCGTTATTGTATAAATTAAATATACTGTAGGCTGTTTATTTTACTATTAATAAGTATTAAGATACTGTACTGCATGGGCGCCCGCAGAAAACTTTCGGGGGGGGGGGGGCAAAAAAATCGACCAACTTTCCGGGGGGGGGGCCATTTTTTAAAAGAATTTTTT